TTCTAAAGGATAATCTACTCAAGAGACATGCTAGATTCAAGCGAGACGGCTGCAGAATAATTATAGGGGTGCTCCCATCAAAATCAGTCCCATATCAGATGCCTTCAAAGTTTAGATGCAGGTAGAATGTATCCCCCTCCGTTCATTCAGATATGATCGATCAGCATAGCTAAGACTGTCATACATGACACGGTTCCGGTGACGGTTGGGGGGAGAGAGCGACGCGCCCGCATAGTCCGAGTCGGTGGTAGGTGGAAAGACATGGAATCTAACAGCAGACACCAAATCTACCAACACTTGCTCTGGCAATGACTACATCATGAGATGTGTAGAACGACGAACCCATCTTCCAGTCTCTAAGATTGAGATACCATTTTCTGCACCTATTGCTGAACATTAAGTCGTGTTTGCGCCGCTGCAAAAGTAGCTAATAGCGGCAGGATTGGGTATACGATGGACATTGTATAGCTATCAGCGACATTTCTCAACTGAAGCACTCTGAGGTCAGATACGACTGTCTAAGCGGAATGGACCCTGTAGTCTCATGCCTTTCACGAGGTGGGGATGCGAAAGAGCTTGATGGGCGTAAACAGTTTGGTGCACGTAAATCAACACCTTATTGTAATAGGAGCGCATCTATGTTTGTAAAGTTGAGGGTAGTGATACCCGGAATACAGCAGGCTCTGTGAAGGAGCTCTCAGTTGAATTGTGTTGGGGCTGACAAAATTGATCCCCTACATTAAATACGGTGGCCTCAATTTATCCCGCTAACAAGGTGCGACTTACCGGCGAAGGTGGCTATGCGCATGAGACATCGACCTTAACAGCAACCAGAAGAGGCATTGTGGACCCACAGCATGTTGCTAAGCGCCCGCAACCCACCAGCCATTATTTCTAGCTAGTCGGTGTTATTTCAGTACATCATTAGACCTTGAATGAACCCCTTGAGGTTCGCGCGGATTTTGCCATACGAAACGATCATGGCAGAAGCCGGGTTACAGAATTTCTGCGTACGAGACCACTGTCGAAACTGGGGATTATCCTAGAGGACGTACCGTTTGACCGCTCGATGGGCTTTCGTAGTGGGGAAAGTAGCCTATGCTGACTACTAGATGTACTCGAGACTCACTAATCGGACTGAATTAACGCCTTATTCCTTAAGCGGACAATATGTTGGAAGTCAAGGTACGTGGCTATATTTTGACTCAAAGCACCCAAGGACTATCTAGAGTAAAACGAATAACATAATCTATTGGCAATGCTAGAGGTATATTGGATTATTCTAGCTATTACAGGCTCAGTCACGAACTCGCTCTGGAACAGGGAGAACGGCGGCAAAGTCATCAACAGCTACAATCGGAATGAAGCTTGGGTTCTCAGATGGCGTCGGTAGCGTGATGACTGGCACGAAAGTGGCCTCATCAGTCTCTTCTGGGATGGCCGGCAGAGAGCCCAGATCAGAAGGAGTCGGCTTGGGGATAGACGGAACGAAGGTCGCATCTTCCTGTCGGCCCTCAATGAGGATGACGGTTGCTTCGTGATTTCCGTTGACAGAGTAAACACCAAGACCGCTGGACGGTGTCGGCTCCGGGATGAATGGAACAAAGCTAGGCTCTCCGAAAGGAATGGCACGTCGATGAGCTCCACCGCTTACGCCGCAGCTGTAAGACTCGATCGATATTTGGCTTCCGCTAGCGAACTCAATTCTATCAGGAAAGTCTCCACCGAAGGAATATGTTGCTCCTCCCGAGGCCACGACCTGACAGACGACTTTATCGAATATCTGGGACATGTCCATCTTGTTCGGTCCTTCTTGTGGGCCAACTCGATTGATAGGAGAAGTGGTGGGATAGATATTATTGAGTGCGGATACGAGATCACCCTTCTCAAGGATATTACCCAGAGAATCCTCGAATTGCCTGGAGCCAAATTGTGCACTGTATCCGGTTGAAGGTATATTTCCTAGAAACTATTAGAGGTGCCATTCGCCTCAGAAAGGCGTCTTACCATGAGCTGAAATTGGCCTTCGAAGAGGTTGGCACTGATCATCCAAGAGAGGAATTCTAAATGACGCATTCAAATCAGGGTTGACTGAGTCAATATTGACGACAACACGGACATAAGGGGTGAATGAACAGCCCAGAGCAGCGCTGAGAAGGCCGAAGAATAGAAGTAACAACGCCATTGCTGCGATTTTCCGTTCGATCTTTTGGGTGAAGAATATTACTTTCAAGCTTCTGGGCCTAGAATGATGGAAACTATTTATATAGTCATGCATTGCTGATATTTGGCGGACCGGTGCCTATGAGGAGAATGACCAAAAGAAGGCTCCAGAGACTGGTCCCGAAAGATGGCCACCACGCCATGTCACTGCATAGCCTCCAAATGAATACTTCAGATTCTAACTATATTTAGGTTCGCGGGACAAGTTTTCTCCGATTTTTCTCATGCTCCCGAAAGTCGGTCCCCGGATATAAAATTGGTCGAAGCAAGACTATTGCCCTTCTCGAAGCCTAGCTCCATAGATTAGATATACAGGGATAAGCATCCCAGAGCAACTAGAGATCGCTCGATGGCTGAAACCAAGGATGATCACAGCCGGCGTGAAGCTGTTGATTTTCTTCTCGATGCATTGCTCAATCGAGGCATTCCATGTGCAATTATGCCGTCTGTTCTGACAGGGATATGGCAGAGTAAACTTACTATTGCCATAGAATGCACACAAGAAGAGCTTTGGCGCATCTGCGGTGAATCATACCGGTAAAGTGCCTACATTCCTT